GTATGAAATAAAATCTTTGTTTCACGTTTTTTATTTTTATTTTGTAAAATTTTTTTGAAGGTTTATAGTTATGACATCTCTTCTTTGACGTTTGCAGTTCTTCCTCTGTTTTCGGGGATAAAGAAACTTAATTTGTATGGGGTCCAGTCCCTTATACATTTTCTAATGGGATGAAATGGTGGGGGGGGGGGGGGGGATCAATGGGCTAAAGCTTGTTTAAAGTATATATAAATATATATATATATATATATATATATATATATATATATATATATATATATATATATATATGTAAAATATATAAAAATATTTTAGAAACAGATAACCCCATACAGAGTTTATGGGCTTGGCCCTATTACAACTTTGCTAGGTTGTGGTGGTTTAGAGACATTAAATAGTCTAACTCCCACATTTTGATGCCTGTACTTACAGGTGGATATCAGATACATAGTTATAGCAGTTTTCGAGCAAGGCTACGCGAATGTTAACGACTTTGTTACCACTTTCAAAGCTGACTGTTGAATGTTGAACATTGAAATAAGAATCGACATCACATCAATCGGACACTCCCATAAGCGCCCTGTCCCTGTCTTCAGCAAAAAGCGAAGAATTCCAATTCCAATGGCACCAGTAGCTGTCTTATTATACATCCGCCTCGCCTTTCCCTTGAGTGTTGAGCGTCGGCCACATCCCTTGGTAACTCCTCGCAGCGTCATTATCCTCAGACAGTAATGATCTGTTTGTGCCTTCGCCCTGTTCACTCTCTACCAAAGGGCCCTCGCAACATCTAGCTTGTTATACATCAACTCACCATAAAGAACCGGCCAGTCTATCTTGCTGATCACTACTCAATACACCACCATAACCTAGAGAAAACTTCCAAAAGGACGCTAGCTACACGGGACCTCTAAAGCAATGCTTGCCACTCTGCACGGATCATGCCTATCTCCACCTTTTTCAACAGGCTCTGTCAGTCAGTTACAATTACGACACGTGTGTACAGCCAATTCTCAAGCCTGTGGAAGGCAGCAGTGACTGCCTCCACCTCCATTCTCGAACTAGACGTTGTGATATCACAGGCCAGGCTTTGCTGCCTTAAGTAGCTTCCATTCGCTTGTCTGTTACCACTGTTAGCAAATCGAGTATAGAACTGGTTGTGGTGGATGCGTGTTGATGAGGTCTGCGACATATAACTAATAAGCTTGCACCACGGACGATGATAATTCACATTATTCTGCTGGCATATGTATAGCACTTATAGGCGCCTCTAGGGTTCAGTGGTTCGGTTATTTTATTATGAACAAATCTGGAACCTTACACTGCATCAAACATCCTCAGTATGCCTCAGAACAGTGTCTCCCAATCTCCCTAGTGCCACGACCCTTTAGTACAGCTCCCTCATGCTGTGGCGACCCCCAACAATTATTTTCCTTTATAACTTCAATAAATATGTGTTTTCCTATAGTCATAGGCGACCACTGTGAAAGAGTCGTTTGACCCACACACAAGAAAAGGATCGCGACCGGCACGTTGAGAGCCGCTACTTTTGAATGACAACTCCTAACTACCTTCACGCTTAAATGCAAATTTGGGTCACGCGTCATAGTTCCAAAATAAAGATAGCTAGTTTGTAATCGATTATAGTCAATAAGCATTTGTTTTTTTTAATACAAAATTGATCAGGGCTGTGATATGTCACCAATATTTCGTTGGTAACTTGAGATTATCTTAGGTAATAAACTTTAACAGTTTTACTACACTTTCCACACGCACAAACACACCCTTAAACAAAGATTCGTCGTCATAACGTCAACGTGAAACTAATTATAGTGCTCAGTTTTGTGAAGCCTGCGGCTCAGGATATATAATTTCAAGAAAAACTTTTTTGTACGCATACTGATGCTCATTGCCTGTGAGGTAGATCTCCTTGTGAGATGCAGTTTTTCTCTATTTTGAAGCCCCAGCCTGGCTCTTGCCAGGGACCACAATATAGCCCGGCCAAAGATACGGTCTAATGGCTGAACGCGGTTTCTGGGACCTCTCCACGATTGATCCTCATCCACATGGTGGGCACTCTGTGTCATCGGGTGTTTATCGCTTGTGTGATGTTCTGGTGGGGTAAAAGTCTACGACTACTAGATGCACTTCGACTTGGAAGTAAACACCCCTGAATATGCATCTCCTCCGACACGCTTGTTACGCGAGCAATTGGTCTGTTCTTCCCCCACCCACCCCCTAAAATAGGGTCCCGGAATGAGTCCCGTGCAACAGATTTTCTCAGTCTAATTCAGTGCCATATACGATAGATTCGAACTGTCAGCTCAAAAGTTTGAATTGTTTGATTCCCTTGCTTATCCCCCCCCCCCCCCTTTTTCTCCATTTACAGTGCCGCATGATGCGGCCACATCTATGCATCATGGCATGGCTCTGCCTGGAAGCTACATGGGAATTTTTATGACCAAGGTATATACTAGATAAACAGTACTATGTAGTTTATTGTGTTTAAAAAAAAATTATATTCCACAGGCTGATAACAAAGACATTCACCAAAGATACATTTTGACACAGTGTATAAACATTTTAATATCGTGAACGGTAAGCATTTAAAAAAGACTGACCAGTGTTATATATCTTAATTATTTATGCTACGTATATTTTATAAATATTATAAATATTCTATTTTTCTTTTCTTTTGGAAAGTTGTTGTTTTGACATATAATAATTTCACGACGCAACTGCGGTTTGGATCGTTTCGGGGAAATTACACTTAGGTTCATGTGATAAGCTGGAAAACGAGAAAGACTACTGTTCAGCAGCTCAACGATTTTGATTTAATGTGGTTTGAAAATGACCACGAGGTCAGAGGAACAGCTATTAGCTTTAGACGGTAAAGCGGAAAAGTCTGGCCACTGGGTATAAAAAGGCCAACTGACTCAGTATTTGCCTCCTATTTAACTTTCGGACGCACCCTGTGGAGACCTACGCGGCTGTTGTAGCTCTGCATTTGGAGCTCGCTATCATGGGTGTGGACGACTACAGGGGGAGGCCGGTTGTCAAGCTGATTTTGCAGGCGGTGGAACGTTTCCTTCTTTAGTCCTGAAATAGTAGTCTCTAGTAGTTATACTGTGTAATATGTAGGTGTGTATTCTCGCTAGGATGGCAAATAGTTATAAACGATTTGTTGGTCTGGTGGCATTTGAAGCTTAACGTATATGTTAAATATGTTTCGGGTTTTGCCATTGTTGAGGTAATCTCGCTGAGTGTATGGTATCATTATCATATTTCCTTGTTATCTGATGACCGCTTTAGATTCTGGTCGATCAAGTTGTTTGTTGTTGATGTTATTTGTGGACCACGCTGATTTTATATTAAGTGAAATAAACAGATGTTCAATGTAGTAATCATAGTTCCAGTTGTTTTTCGTTCAGATTAGGACTTGGAGTTAGCGTGCCTAGTTTATTTTTTGCTTGGCTGATCTAGACTTTACACAGAAGACTTCCTGTCAGTGTGATATACTTTTGATCTTATCCCGCCTAAAAGAACTTTTTCCCTTTTTTTTTCTTGTTACTGAGGTAGCTTAAGGTTGGGTTTTGGCTCCCACTCGCCACGTCACATTGTTAAAACTCTTGTAGGTTCGGAGCCCAGGAGATTTCAAGGAGTAGATTTCCATATTATCCTTTAAAGTTTTCTCTTCTCTTTCCTCCATTACAATTTAACCCCTCTGCTTTTCTTCTAGTACATTCAACTGAATGAACAGAAAAATAAAGACCCTTTGCATAAGTGACCGTCGAGGGGTCATACGGTTTTTGTTTCACATAAGTGTCGGCAGAAATCCGGTGTCCTGCCGGGAATTAGAACCCATACCCTTGACGTATCCAGCCAACCACTTCACCTTCAGGTGACAGTTCTGGGCAAAGAATACGTTTTTTTCTCAGAACATTTGGCTGGCAAAGAATAGATTCCTTCTGCAGTTCTGAGATCGTCATGTAGCAGATATGTGGCAAAAATACTGTCTTACCATAAACCGCCGAACAGACACCCAGTCCGCCCTTAGTCAGTCTGCCATTTGCATTTTCATTTCAAAGTTGTCTTCGATGTTCTCAGTCCAAATTGGTATCGACTGATATCTGAATCTTTTCACAGAAACCGTGCTTGCCACAACATATATTTTCAAACCAACGTACCTTAATTTGCCTATTTCAATTTTCAAAATATGAGTCAGTTATCTTCTATATTCAAAGTTTCGAGATGGCATTGTTGTTCTTCCTGCCCAGCAATATTTTTAGAATTTCTAAAACATTTCAATTCCCAAGCAGTGGTCCTGTTCTTAGTTACTGTTTAAGGTCCACTGTCGCACCCGTGCGTTGCCACTGCAAAATCTTACAAAATCGTTACTTGTGCCTATGACCTGGTTTTATGTACTAAGTTTATCCTAACTGGAAATCTCTTCATAGCTAAGACCAGTCTTATTCTGATTTGTTAGAATTAGTCCTCAGTGTTTTAAAGATAGAGCCAAAGAGCGCAGTGTTTTTACCATTGTCAGTTTCTTCATTACTGATTGTATTTTTCTGTAGCTGCCATGTAATTTTGTCTGTAGGAATTATTTATGTAACTGTTAAATATTCAGGAGAAAGGGATTAATATGTTATGACAGACGTCATACACTCTCCCAATCCATTTACACTGTGTGTGAAGAGGCACGGGACATCAACTAAGTTCTGGTACTGAAAATCCACCAGTTTAGAAATTGATCGGGTGAAATTTCATAGACCCTGAAAAAGGAAAAAAGGGGGGAGGGGTTTTAATGCGTCCCTAGCAACACAAGTCATATTGATGTTTTCCTTGCTATGCTGACTGCAGTTAGTGATACAACGTTAAAAACAGATTAATTGGGTGAGCTATACACCCCTAAAACCTAGGTAGATATGTAAATTAAGGGTATCTTTAGTTTCGCTTCTTTACCTAACCTCTTATTCACGTTCCATCAACAGACAATCCCAATGGCCAACTCGGACATTAAGATAATCTACTTCAACATCCCAGGACGTGCAGAGGTCAGCCGCTTAGTTCTCGTACTGGCGGGAAAACAATTCGAAGACGTTCGAATAAGTGGAGCAGAGTGGCGTGACATTAAACCTACCACGCCCTTTGGTACCTGTCCAGTCCTGGTACTTGACGGGAAAATGTACGGCCAAAGCAAAGCAATTGCTGTATTTTTAGCCAGAGAATTTGGATTATATGGTAGGACAAATCTAGAAGGACTGCAAATTGACCAAGCTATGCATCTCATGGAAGACTTTATTCAGGAATACGGTAGTCGCTATTTCTTTGTAACGGATGAAGCCAAGAAAGCAGAAGGTGCAAAGCAGATGCGAGAAGAAATAACGCCAAGGTTTATGGGATATTTTGAGAAGTTGTTACAAGACAATGCTACTGGTTATCTTGCTGGAGACCGTGTTACAGTAGCCGACTTGACTGTCTTTGATATGTATACAGGCTTTCTGGGATCGTTCGTCCAGGAGTGGATAGATAAATTCCCATTAATAAAGCAACTTGTGGCTACTGTTGAGAGCAATGAAAGAATCCGTGCATATAGAGAGCAGAGAAAGTGAGTCGTTTGGTGCATATCTGTGTGTAATATCCCATGTATGCAGTGCTTTCCCCCTGGCTACACGCATTTTAAGGCGTTTGTCAATGCTATTACAATAGACACTATGTGGTGAGTAACAGCAACTTTTTAGGCACGCTGTGGTAGTTGCACTTTTTGTAGCAAACAAAAGAATGCTCTGTATGCATGAGTATGTTAGCCAGCCTGTGTGATTACGTCTCTTTGTGTGAGACTTCTTAGGTTGTTTATCCATGAATAAATCCTGCTTTACTATCCTCTTAATGACTCATTAACTGAGTCTGACTGAAACTGGTTGACTGAGCGTGACTGAATGAACCCCATTGACAGCTTTGTTTAAGTAAGATAGTCTGTCTCGGCTTCACTAACGGAATCTCCTTTCCTGATTTCCCCCTTACATAAATATCTTTCACTGTGTCTCCTTTGGGTGTTTGAGGTAGTGTTTGGTGGCACAAATCTCAGTGTCTTGTAGGGGAGATGATCCAGTTGTGACGGCTAGGACAAGTGTGTACTGTCAATTTCTTCTTCTACAGTTCTCAGTTCATGCTCCTCACCCGCTGCGCAATTAGAGCGCCCGTCATCATGCAGATTTCTTAGATGGCCATGTAATCGGGTTGTCTCCGGGTTCTTGAACCGCGTAGCTTTCCGGATCTACCAGTCGCCAAGAGCTTTAATTTATCCCAGGATGAGCTAGCACAAAGCGTTTTTTGGGAAATTATCCGCTCTTTCATGTGTCGCCCTTCATAGCGAAGCTTCCCTCTGTCATCGTCTGGCCAAGGCATCATCAAAACATTTAAATACCCTACTATCTCTTGCAGTGGGTCATTACTGAAAGATAGATCTGTGTCCCGTCTACGAAACAATCTCCCCCGCCACCTCCGTTAACGCTCTAGATTATTTCTGCCTAGAATAAAGTTCACACGAAAATATTTCAAGAAAGCTAGATTGGTCCCGACATGAAAGCGATAGGTTTCAGCCACCATTGTATGCCCAGGGGTGTAGCCCGTATGCTTTCTCCACTTTACGTTTAAAAAAAAGACTAAGACAGAACCAGACTGACACTTGAAAGATTGATTAAACCGTGATAAAAGAGATGATGATTTGATTTGATGTGATTATGTATGATTTCATATGCCACTATAATCTCCAGTATAAGATTTTCATCAAAGTGTAGTATCAGTACAATAGGCCTTATTTCATGTGTTGGCCACCTCCGTCAGTTGACCGCCTTGTGCTACACTCCCTTGGGTGGCCAACTGACAGAGGTTCTCCTGTACCAAGAGAATCCTAATAAACAATACAAACATGCAACGTTTTCTTTGTTTTGCTAACATAAACAACATTTCTGGTAGTTATTGTTTCTTTATTGTTGTTGTTAGTGGTTATGAAAATTAGCCCATTTATGTAAATCTTACATCATATGTGTAATATGTTTGGTCGATTTTGTAATTATTTTCTTGAGGAACATACTTCCAAGGACCTCCCCACACGTCGCCCCTTTTTTTCAGAAAATGTGTAACTTGACTAAGCGCCCCCCCCCCCCCCCCAATTACTCGTTTAAATATTTTATACTTCTAATATATTTTAATATTTATTTACCCCTTCCCCACCTTTACAACTGAGAAAACTAGCTGAGGGTGCTCCCACTTCCACCGTCGCCACATCCCGAGTAGCCCTGGTGTTTTCTTTGTGTGGGGTTCCTATCTGAGGACATCACCACTTTGAGATTTGCTCTTTAAGTGGCAGATTTTTATTCGTTTAAATATTCAGAAACAAACCGTTTGGCTCGGTACTATGGATATCGCAGTCCGTCGGCCTTGATTCCATCATAGATGCCGTAAATCTGGGAAAAAATTGGGCTATTCTGCCTATCCACGGGCGTGAAATCTGACGACAAGGAGTTCGCCACCCGGTCGCCGCGCAGTCAGGTTTAACCATTTGAGCTATTGCGCCGAGCTCCTAAATGACAGATAAACAACGTAGGTCCCAGATATCATTATCATCCTCCAGAGAAAATATAATTATGGTACTCATAACAGCTGCACTAACTACTTACCCTAGTATCATGCTGTCCTAGGTGGGTACGGATGCCTATGGTGAAGGTTGGCATGTTTTCACGTGGACTTCTAGTAATTCCCTCTGGTCTCTGGGTAGTTCCCCCTGGTCTCTGGGTAGTTCCCCCTGGTCTCTGGGTAGTTCCCTCTTGTCTCTGGGTAGTTCCCCCTGATCTCTGGGTAGTTCCCCCCTGGTCTCCGGGTAGTAAGATCGAAGACTCCTGTGCCTAACGGCGCTGCCTGGGCAAAATTTGGGATCAGGATCCTCACTAGTGCTACGGAGTTCGTGCACTGTGATGAGATTCTTCAGACTTAGACATAAGTTAGAAGTAATACTGAGCATTTATGGGTTACTACCCTTGTGCTATGCTGTTGATTCGTTGTTTAAACCTAAACCTAAACTGTGCAGGAAGCCACACACACACACACACACACAAATAATAATAATAACAAACTAACACACGGCTGATGGTGTCAGCGGCTGTACAATCTGGCATTTACTAATGAATGCATCCGAGCACTTATAGACTACGCGTTCGTTTTGGGATGAGAATGATCTGCTCATTAACTGACGGGAAGAGAACAGTAGTTCTGTCAATGCTGGCGACTAGACACGGTATAGTTGTCCCCATGTGGGATGCAATTTTTCGTTTTTTGAAGCCCCATCTTGGCTTCTGCCGGGGGCCCTGAATATAGCCGGGGCATAGATATGGCCTAACGGCTGAAAGGGGTTTTTGGGACCTCTCCAAGGGTGATCCTCATCCACGTGGTGGCACTTTGTGTCACCGGTTGTTTATCGCTTGTGTGATGTCCTAGTGGACGTCTGCCGTGATCGTTGTGGTACATTAATCGTTGCGCCACCACTGCCAGCCACACGCACACACTCACACATACACACACACTCACGCACACACACACACACACACACACACATATATATATATATATATATATATATATATATATATATATATATATATATATATACACACACACATACACACTCTCGAACACACACTCACACATGTATTCTTGTACAAAATGCGCACTTACGCGCATGCGCGCGCGCTCACACACACACAGTAAGAAGATAAAAGCAAGAATAACGAGAAAAACAAAAACAGGGAGATGAGAACAATGAGGAGAAATCAATAAAGTATGTGACAATTTTAAGAAAGATGTTTAAGAGATTGTAAAAAAAAAAAATCAGCATGCAACTGTGAAAGAAATATTACATGTGATATGGGAAAATTGCTTCTGTATAAAAGAACAAAAGTAGTCTCTGTAATTTGTTTAATGCATACATGAAGACAAGGATTTAACGCGAAGTTTCCTAACTAACATTGTGACATATATTTCATTCTCCATGTCCTCAGGGAGTTACATAGGTTCCTGATACCCTAACGTTCCCTGTGTATTAGAAGGGTGTAATGGGTCTAGACTTAACATAGGGCCTGATTTTACCATCAGATCTGACAATATCCACATTTTTTTGCAGCAGAGGATACTTCTCCGTGACGTCTACATAGTCCTTCAACATTCCAGTAACAACATCGAATGCAACAAGGTCAGCCAGTGTTAGGCGGTTATCTACAAAATAACCAGTACCATTCTCTTTTAACAGCCTTTCTAGATGACCAAGATAGATTGGGCTTACGTCAGCTTTGATTCTCGCAAGTTCTTTCCTCTTCTGCTCTTCATCTGTAAGAATTACCACAGGAACGCAGATGTTAGTGAGGTCTTCGATTAGCTGAACCAGTTGGTCGATTTGTAAGGATTCAATATTTGAATGACCATAGAAGCCCAGTTCTCGAGCCAGGTAAGTCTTGATGGCCACGCTCTGAGCGTATGTGACGCCATCAACTACAAGAAGTGGACATTGACCAAACGGCGCCAGATGGCTGTGCTGTGGCCAGTCTTCCTCTGGGAGTCGGATGTCATCGAACTGTTTTCCTGCAGCAACCAGCAATAACCGAGCCGCTTCAGCGCGGCCCATTCCATCGAAATAAATCAGCTTTAGATGGGAATTTGCCATGATTCTCTAGGACGATGCCTGCAACAACAAAAAAAAAAAAAATTAAATAACAAAAATAATTATTTTAAAGCCAGTATAGAAATTAACATTAGTGTGAGCAGAGTAATTTATTAGAAAAAAAATTATTTAAAAAAAAAAAAAAAACTTTTTAAATAATACTAGTTTTCTATTACTTATATTGTATACAATTAACAAGTGCACTAAAAAGATATAAAATAATTTTTTAATCTAAAGATGTGCGTGCGTGGGATATGAATGGTGCAGGTATTGACGTGGATTCGTGGGAATAGAATGCAGTGGATCGTGTGGTATCGGTTTAAAAAAATAAAGGACCTCTTTTTCACTCCTTAGGACGTATGCGGCATATAGGGCTATACCAATCGACACTCGGTCAGTGATGTGGCCAGCATCACACCAGCCACTTTTACTTCCCAGGACTTTACCTGGTAGCCATTTTTGACAAAAATCCGGGTCTGTCGGAACCTGAAACCACGACTTATCGCATTGTGTGGAGAATTTGAATGAGAGATGAGATATGGACAAAGAAGAAAATGATTGCAGACAGTTTGAAAAGAGTCTGATAAAGAGCATATCAGATACATATGGTGGCAACAACGGTCCTGCAATCTCATGCGAGCTGTCTTGTATCAAACTCACTTTCGCAATGGACTAAACTCCCGTACCTCCATACAGCACTGTGAAACAGTTTCCTCTGGCCGTACCTCCATACAGCACTGTGAAACAGTTTCCTCTGGCCGTACCTCCATACAGCACTGTGAAACAGTTTCCTCTGGCCGTACCTCCATACAGCATTGTCAAACAGTTTCCTCTGGCCGTACCTCCATACAGCATTGTGAAACAGTTTCCTCTGGCCGTACCTCCATACAGCACTGTGAAACAGTTTCCTCTGGCCGTACCTCCATACAGCACTGTGAAACAGTTTCCTCTGGCCGTACCTCCATACAGCACTGTGAAACAGTTTCCTCTGGCCGTACCTCCATACAGCACTGTGAAACAGTTTCGTCTGGCCGTACCTTCATACAGTATTGTGAAACAGTTTCGTCTGGCCGTACCTCCATACAGTACTGTGAAACAGTTTCGTCTGGCCGTACCTCCATACAGTATTGTGAAACAGTTTCGTCTGGCCGCACCTCCATACAGTACTGTGAAACAGTTTCGTCTGGCCGTACCTCCATACAGTACTGTGAAACAGTTTCCTCTGGCCGTACCTCCATACAGTATTGTGAAACAGTTTCCTCTGGCCGTACCTCCATACAGCACTGTCAAACAGTTTCGTCTGGCCGTACCTCCATACAGTACTGTGAAACAGTTTCCTCTGGCCGTACCTCCATACAGCACTGTGAAACAGTTTCCTCTGGAAAGACGGAAAGGTATCCGACAGTAAAAACATAGTTAACGGAGACGCTGCCGCCCTCAAGGGTCTTAACATGATTTTTGTAATTGACTTTGGGCTCCCAGGGGTAAAAAGAGATGTCTTACGAAGTAAAGGTGGCCCGCGACGTGGATTTTTACCATTTCATCCCTCTAATGTCAACTGAGCTGTAACAATATATGTCTATAAGTCCAGCACAAAATGCCAAATGCGACAATGACCTCGTTAGGGTCATCTGTTTTTTTTTTTTTTTTTATGCACTCAGTTTGTGTATGAGCTTTATAATACTAGAGAGAGAGAGAGAGAGAGAGAGAGAGAGAGAGAGAGAGAGAGAGAGAGAGAGAGAGAGAGAGACAGAGAGAGAAAGAGAGAGAGAGAGAGAAAGAGAGAGAAAGAGAGAGAGAGAGAAAGAAAGTGAGGGGAGGGGGGGGGGGGGAAGAGAGAGAACACTTCGTCATATTTGAGTGTCTGGTTTACAAACAGTGAAACCTTGGATCTCAAAAGGCTCTTTTTTTTTTAAACAAGTCCGTTTCTGGAAACAAATTTCAAGGAAAAGCGGGGGGGGGGGGGGGGAGTGCATCGTTTTCACAAAGAATTAATTCTGAAACCATGTTCTTTCAGGCTTCAGATTGCTTCAAACGAGCAGTTTTCGCTCAGTGCAGATTCCTGCTAGAATGTGTATTGACATACTTTTATAGACCAATCGACAGGTTATGTAGCCTAGACATCATCAAGCCGATCGCCTTTACTTCCCAGGACTTTACCTGGAATCTATTTAAAGCTGGGTCTACCTCGGGTGGGGGGTGGGGGGGGGGGCAAAGGAAGTGTATGGGGGGGGGAAAATCCGACTCCATGCAGATATGAACTTGCGACCTTCGGATCCTCAGGCGAACGTGGGCAAATGGTACTAGTGAAAAATTAACACTGACACTCGATGATGATGAGGTCAACATCATGCTGACCGCCTATACTTCCTTTGACATTTTTTATCACACTTCAAAAATTTGTCCGCACTGTATAGTATAACCAACCTGTTTCAGTTACAGGTGGAACCGCTGTAATGATTTTTAAATGGCTTCAAATGACGTTCGTTTAAAAAAAAAAAAAAACGTGTTTTCATAAAATTACGAAATGGTGAAGGCAAGACCTCAAGTCACTTCCACGAACGTTAACAGAAATGCATGGACTGACTGACTGACTGACTTTCTACCCCACTAGGACATCACACAAGCGATAAACACCCGATGACACAAAGTGCCACCATGTGGATGAGGATCGCCGTGGAGGGGCCCCAGAAACCGCGTTCAGACAATTGGCCATATTTATGGCCTGCCTATATTGCGACCCCTGGCAAAAGCCAGGGTGGGGCTTTAGGTAACAAAAAATTTCGTCCTAAAAAGGACGAAACAATATTAATTATGATAAATGCATGGAGATTCAGCAGTGGATTGTAGCACTGTCCCACGCTAGGTTATTTGATGTGACGAAACTAAAATAGGTAATCCGTCTACGCAGTTACTCCACACAATATTCATCGAGTTGATGACATACATCATTTGTGATTACCATTAGGTAATACTGGGTGCGGGAGTCGCCGTGGCCGAGCGGCTAGACGCTCGTCGCGAATCGGAAGGTCGTGGGTTTGTTCCCTGGCGGAGCCGGAAGTTTTTCAAAAATGACCTTGGCTCCCAGGTCGACCCAGCCTTGAGTGGGCACCGGGTGCAGTCCCGGGAAAGTAAAGGCGGCCGGCATGATGCTGACCACATCACCCATCTTGTGCCGATTGGTCTATACAAATATAGACCTAACCCTATATGCCCTATACGTCTGATGGCGTGGAAAAGGGTCCTTTACTTTTTTTATATACTGGGTGCACTGCATTCCATGTTGTCCATAAGTAAAGACAGTATTCAGACTATCTGTCATTAACGCTCTGGGTTGTTCAAATGTTTGTGCACGTTGGATACCCGGATTGTTGACAGACAGATATAAAGAGGTTTGAGGTTTGAAGTTTGAACAACGGATCAACATAATGGCATATGGGTAGTAACCCATAAGTGCTCCGTTCTTCTGCTAACTCAAGTCTGAGTCCGAAGAAGCTCTGCACAGTGCACATGCTATGTAGCACCGGCGAGGATCCTGAAATTCTTTGGGTAGATTTTTAACTCCAACTCTTGCCCAGGCAATGGATTTTTTTACGTGCGCAACAATGCACACGAGCGTCGGATCTCACTACCCAGAGACCAGGAGGGATAACTAGAAGTCCAAGTCCACGTGAAAAAATCCCAACCCTTATAGGGGATTGAAGCCGGGACCTCTAGCACTCGAGACATACACCATGCCTCGAGACCACGCAGCCCACACATAAAAAAGGAAGGAAACCCGTAGTCATCAACCTCCTGCGCCGTTACGAAACTGAAGGAAACGAGTTTTTATCGAATGTTAAGACAGGTGCGAGACCGGGGTTCATTTTTTGTTTAAACCAGAATTGTATAGACAATCAATGGAATGAGCCAGGGCGTGCTCAGTCGCTTGATATGCCGTGATGTTATGCAGTCTCAAGGTGTCAGTGACTCCTACGATCAATATCCTTTTCGATCTTCCCCTGCCTCTTGATGTTTCGATTTTCAGGTTGTACGCTCTTGCTGCTGGCATCGTTGGTTTCATTCTCATTAGACGGCCAAACCATTTCATTCTTTGTTTCTCAATAAATTTGATGATGGGCGTTGTTCCAACAGTTCTTGTGATCACATCGTTTCTCACTCGGTCTCTTCTGCCAATTAATACTTAATAATTAGAAATAATATTTACCATGTTTTCATTATACTGAAGTTTCATAGGGGTGTTTCTAGATTTGAAGAGTATTTAGCTTTATCTGTCATAACCTTTGCTAAAAAAAAGACCTCACAGTTGTCTGTCTCTCGCTCGCATTTGCTTCTCCCTAATTTCACTTCCCGCTAGCTAATAACACAGGTATTTTAACTGTTGTATAAATTTGTGTACGGAAAGAAGAAGGTTTTGAATCTCTTCAGACACAGCTATATGATTCTGAACACGACTTTGTAGTTTCGTATTACTTTTACATACTACTAGTCTTATACGTTCGTTCAGCCTTACCTGTTGCTTTCCTCGATAGAAATTAACAAGCGGCACAAGTATGCAGCGTTCTTTCCTATAATGTACAGACTAACAATGTGCTGGAGAAAATCGGACGTGGCCGTCTCACAGAAGTCAGTTCTTCCTTGTCAAGCGAGCCTAACGTTGCGAAAATGTTACCATTGACGCAACCAAGCGAATTCTATGGGCCTATTTAACTGCAACTGCACATTGCCCGTCAAATTTTGACATTTTGATGTTCTCCTTATAGACTGAGTTGAGTCAAGAATTGACATTACAGCACTAGGGGTATTCCCATGCTTGCTCCGTTCTCACCTTCAGCAGCCAGCGCAGAGTTCCAATATTGATGGTACAGGTCACAATCTGGTTATGCAAGGTCTGACAATTAAATAATGAGACTGCAAGACAAATGTGCCATCTATGAAGCAAAGCATTGAATCCAAAGAGGCAATCTTAATCTATGATCTAGCAACTTTGCATCGCCACCTGA